GATAAAAAATCATGGCAATAAGGAAATTAATTTTTAAAGTCAGTTAGTCTTAGTCTTTCCATTTCTCACCTAAAATTTCCTACCCAACCCAAATCCTAGCATTTTTTTTAAAAAAGATAAAATCTCAGTAGCTGCAATATTTATAAATAAAATTTTCACTAGTTTGGAATACTATATATGTTTATTGAGAAGTAAGTACCATTACATTTTTAAAAAATATCCATTTTCTTAAATACACTTCTTTAGATATTTTCTTCCTGATCCTTTCTTTCAGAGTGGCAATGATGCCTTCATGGCTCATCGCAAACATACCTGCGTCATTTTAGTGTCCCCAGTGATCATGGATTGGTAATCTGACGTTGTGAAGATTTTTGAACCTTCCTGAGATACAAGATGGCAATAGTTAGGAGACTTTTTGAATGCATTAGATATTAAATTGCTTCTGTCTTATTTGGATTAGGCATAGTCTTCAGTCAACTAAGTGCAGGTTCTTAATGATGTGGAAAGAAATATATATTTTGTTTCAGAACTTCAGCTAATAGTTTAATTATTTGCTTCGTTTACAACATTCTCATATTTTGGTCTTCTACTTACTGCTGTGGGATAAAACAGCTGTCTTTTTATGCAATTATTAATTAATAGGTTAGTTGCTTTTGCCATCATAAAATTTTATAATGAAAGCCAACAGGAATATAAAGAATCAAATTATTATTAGGGAAGTGCACTTCCTTGAATTTGTTTCAAACAGATGCTCAGAACAGTGCAGGGGGACTTTAAAATCCAGGAAAAGATACTGTTGCTTTAAAGCAGAACAGAGAAGTGTGTGATCTTTTGATAATGATCAGAACTCCATTTTTATATTTGTTTCCAAATTTCCCTACAATGCCTAGTCCCGGTTCCTCTGCCACTGCAGTTAAAGCTGGAAACCATTTGGGGATTTGAGAGGTTTGGCTGTGTTATTAAATGTTACTTGAAAGTGGCATAAAATCCCATCAAACTAAGAAGAAACATTATCTGCCAAACAGCAATGGGTCTTTCAGCCAGGAACCTTGGATCTTTAGGGAAGGGGAGAATGCAGATACAATAAAAAGTTGTGGAGCAGAGGGAGTTTGTCCTCAGTAATATAACACATGGTGTTTTGATAGAACCTACAGTTCTGGAATGAAAGTAAAGTAGACATGACATGTGATTCTCACTTGTTAATCCTTTCCTGTAGACAGAAAATGGCTAAGTTCATGTAAATAGAAACAGCAGGCGAGGTGGTCACTCTGGGTACCCACAAGCTCAGATGCCTGGTTGTCCTTCATCCTATTCCTGGTATTTCTTTTCTCAGTTGGGGAAGAGATACTTTATGGTGCTTAAAGAGATGAGAGATTGCTGTCATGGGTGAGGTAGGTTGTGACCTCCTGTTGATTTGCCCCTCCATAGTTGCTGCAATCAGAGGGGATGAGAAAGCTCCCTGCATATGCTAATGATTCTTCAAAGTAACAGAAAGAAGCAGTAATGCTGATTTTTTATCAAACTGGAATGAGACCAATCTATGGTTGAAATGGTTATACCTCACATTTTTGAGATATGGGGAAGCCTTTGAGGTGATGCTTGCACATATTTGGATACAAATATTAAGAAATAAGCCTTCTTCTAAATGCACTGGGCAGGCAAAACCCCAAGTTTCCTCAGCAGAGCTGATTTCAGGCATGCAGTCTAGGATTTTTTTAGAATCTGCAGTGTCCACACTTTGAATGGGCACTAAATTGTGATAGTAACTACTATGATTGGTTCAATTGGCCCATTTTGATGAAGAATTCTAGAACCCAACCCAAAGAATTGGATGTGTCTATGAGGCATTTCAACAATCTTTCTACGGATTGTTACCTGGACCATTAGGAATTCAGAGCCTTCTTCCATAGCACTGCCCTCAAAGAAGGTTGAAACAGGAAGGTTATCATCAAAAGCATCTTCCTTTGTTATACTAGATGAAGTTGCCTGAGGAAAAAAAAAGAGGAAACTTGCATTCATTTCTGATTCTGAGTATTTGTTTATTGCTTTATATCTAGTCTCTTATAAAAGTGCAAGATAGTATGCCCCTTATAATTTTATTTTTACAACAACCATCTAGCAAGTCCATTGGAAGGTGCATTGTTGCCTATTGAGTTTCACTGCAGGGTAGGAATTTCTGATTTTTTTTTTAATCCTTAATCTCTGTAGAGAGGAGAAGTGAGGGGGGAGGATTTTACCCACTAATTCAGGTCATTCTGCCACAGCACTCAAGGCCTTGTTGAGTCTGACAAGACCTTGAATGTTGATAAGGCACAAGGAAAACGTCAATGTGAAATTGTGCAGAGACAGTGAGAAGGAGCCAGAGACTGTCACGTGCTGTGAGAGAGCTGGCCTTGGGACTTTGGCCTCCATCTCTGCATCTAGAGACGTTCAAATTAGCAGTGGCTGTGTCTCAGGTTTTCATGTGGGATTCAGGCAGAAAATGTGGAAAGCTATGAGGCAGCTGTTACTAAGTAGGAAAGTAGTAATCATGTTGTGACTGGGGGGTGGGGGGGCATTTGAATGGTTGCTTCCTTCAAATCATTTGCCACTGCTGCTACTACTATTAGTACTTTTTTTGATTTTTAAGGCCACTGAATCAGAAAATCTCAAGATGGCTTCCAGAAGTCCATCACAGTTTGCTCTGTGTTAGAAGAGAAAGAAAAGGAGAAGCAAACAATCCAGGAATGTCCAATCTTGACAATTTGAAGACCTATGTACTTCAACTCCCAGAATTTCCCAGCCAGCATGTTAAAATTTCATAAAATCCAAACAGAAATATGGGAATGTCATCTTAAACTTACTGAAACTATGGTTATGGATATATAGCCAATGGGATGTAATATTGAGCAGCAGGACTGGGAGTTGGAATACCCAGGTTCTAGTCCTCCATTAGACAACGAAAGGCTTGAGCCTGAGATTCCCTCTTAGCTTTAAAGTGAGTAGGATATTTTTAAAAATATATCCCAGAATAGAGAAAAGGCAATCTATTTCCATATAATAGTGCCAAGAAAACTTTATTGTCGATGATGTAACCAGGAATCACCCACTGTTTTCACTCCCCAACATCTGACTATATAGGATGTTGGGCAACATTACCTGGACCCTGAGGAATTCAGTGTTTAAAATTAGAAAGGCACTGAAAAAAGTGATTTGTGACCATTTTTCATGCTTATAAACATTGCAGCATGGCCACCTGATCAAAATTCAGATGCTTGACAGCAGGTTCATATTTATGAAGATTGCAGTGTGACCTTCTGACAAGCTAAGTCAATGGGGAAGCCAGATTCATTTAATGATTGTGTCACTAATTTAACAACTGCAGCCCAATCTACCTTACAGGGTTGTTGTGAGGAAAATGGGAGGAGGAAGAGGTGTTTGATATGTTGGCTGCCTTGAGTTATTTGTAAAAATAGTAAAGGTGGAAAAAAAGAAAAAAAGGTATATATGATTTATCAGCACCTATCCAATCTCTAACTATTATGTTTGTAAATACTACAATTACTGAAGAATATCCAAGCCTGGTTATTTTATTTTATTTATGTGCCACAAGCTGGGCTGGACTAGAAGACCTCTAAGGTCCTTTCTAACTTTGTATTTTCAGTGACAGGCTGAATGTTTTTCCATGTAGAAAGTAGCAGATGCAATTGATGGTCATCTGCTTCTATCATTAGAGTGAACTCACCTCCTCAACTATCAGATGTTAAGATAGGGCAGGAAGGCTGGCATGAGATACTAGATGAACTGTTATGGGCATTGTACAGTCTATTCATCTCAGCTAAATTGTTCTTCAGATGAATGGGCAATAGATTTGACTTATCATACAGGTGGGTTGGGAAAAAATGGCATTTTATTTTGCCTCAGGTAACAAAATATATTAAGTGTTCATTTACATAAAAGAATGCTACTAAAACTCTGGAATAGTTGCTTCTCAAAAGGAGGGGCTGGAGTGTCATTGTTCAGGGACATTGGAAATAGATTACTGAGAATTTCCCATGCGCTGGGACCACTACAGTAGTTGAGATAGCTCTGCGAAGTGCAGCCTCCCACTTGTTCTCTGTAGGAAAAAAAACCCAAAACAAGCCCAGGCAGGGAAAGGCGGTCAAAGATGGGAAAATTTTTAGCTGCCCAGGTGTCTTTGAAATATGGTTCTCAGTTGTGATTAGAGATACTGGGAACTTTTGTTTAGTGAAACCAGAGGATTACAAGTTCACCCATGACCAAAACATACAGTTATGTAGCGGAGGCCATTTTGTGTAGTGTGATGGTTCTGAACTGCTTGAATATTAAGGTACCTCATTTTAATAATTACATGGAATGAGAAAATAACTGTTCTTTCAGATTAATTATCATAGAAGGGTGTGTTTTGATGCACGCACCCCCCCTTCTCTTTTTAACATTATCTCACATAACATGTAATTTACAGATTATATAATATGAATAATCACTATATTTTCAAAACTTTTGTTAGCAAGCAAAAGACTTGTAAAAGCTCAGTCAATATGTCTTCTGCTTTACCCCCCCCCCGCCCCCCCACCCCCCCCAACACACATACACACACACACACACACACTGCCAGGCATATTTTTTGCCCATTCCTCAGGTGATTTATGAATTCTATTCACCATCAGCATACACATAAAGATGCATTTAGAGCTGTCATAAGCATATAATATTCAAGTATTTAAAAAATAAAGGTCAATGAAAAGTTATATTTCCTGGGTTTTTGAATGTGCCATGTGTGTTTGAAAGGCAGCAACCCATTTAATTCTGGACAACAAGTTGGTACCTCTGGCTGCCCTTCATTGCAATGTTATTATTCATCTTAGTTGCCACACAACAAATCAATAATCAGTTATCATCTGACCATACCACACATGATAAGTGCTCACCAAATCCAGGATCTGTTCAGTAGTGGGAACTTCTTTTGCAGTTGTATCTGGTGTGTTATGAGGCATGGAACTACTAGGAACTGTAGCCACAGAAACCTGTTTCACATCAGTTTTTGCCTCTGAGAAAGCAAAGGGAAAGGAGATTGGAAATTACACATTTATACTACCAAAACATAAATGCAATTGCTCTGTTCCTGACACTGATTTTCCAAGAGTGAAAGAGAAGAAAAAAAATAGAGAAGACACAATATTAATTACACAAATTATAGAAAGAATTTTACCTTTCTTTCTTGGAGCTCAAAACCAGAGAGGAAAGTAAACCTGACTTACTAATGTGAACCTGACTTACTAATCAACATTATGCTTGTTACAAAGACTGCAGTTTTCTTTTTAGTAATTTAGCTGCTGGAACTTTCCCCACGCACAAAACCTTATATATTACTCCCTCTCCTTTTATCCTTTTAAATTCAAATTCTGTGAATGAGCCACGTGAGGCTGAAGTCCTGGGAAAGGTGAAGAAAGAGAGCCACCCTGATCTCAGGTAGCCTAATTGCTAAAGCAATCCAGATCAGCCTTTCTCAATTCAACGTTTTTCAAATGTGGTCACACAAGCTGGGAATTTCTGCAAATTACAGTTCAAGTACCCTTTGAGGAAGGCTGTATTGCCCAACTCAGCATGGCATCCATGCCCCCCACCCCACATTTGATTTCAAGACATTCTATAGCCCAAATAGTGTACCTTTTAAAACGGGCATTTCTGGATTTTATTTGGTTTTTCAGTTCTTTCCACGCAGAAAAAAAAAAAGAGAGAAAAATGAGCAAGGAAAAGAAACAAGAATAATTCTATCTTTTCCACTTACCTTGGGAAATCATAGCAGGTGTGGTCATAGCCTTCGGATTTGCAAAAGGCCACCAATTGTACTGAGCAACACTAGAGGGAGTTAGCCCCCCTAACAGCAAGACAAGGCAGAGGAAGCCGAATGGCTGGTGTCCCTTAAGAGTCTCCATTGGCCCTGCAGTTGTCTGCAGCTTAGCTGTCTTCACACTAACCTTTGATACTTGTGATCCAAGTTCATAGTAGCCCAAGGTGCCCGCCCACCAGCCTCTCTCTGCCAATCAGCATCTCATTTTAGAAGACTTGTACTGTGACTAAGTAGTCTTACTCTCTCCTTCCCCCCTCCCCATGCATGACAGAAGAGTAGATTTGCTGTTTTTTCTTACATTCCTTTGCATTTTGAATCGCTATGTGCGGAGGGGATGGGGAAGATTGACATTTAATTAAAAGCACCTATTTTGCTTTTTCAAATCACCTTATTTATTTTACTTCTAACTTGAGTTAATGTAAAGGGCCATGACAGAAACACATGGCAGGTAGTACTCAACTTATAATAGTTTGCTTGAAAAAAGTTACTTATTACCATTTTTCACTTATGACAATTGCAGTATCCCCATAGTCATATGATTTGCATTTGGATACTTGAGAACTGATTCACATTTATGACTGCAGTGTCCTGGGATCATGGGATCACCTTCTGCAACCTTCTGACAAGTAAAGTCAATGTGGAAACCAGATTCACTTAACATCTGTGTTACTAATTTAACAACTGCAGTTATTCACTTAACAAATGTTAAAATACTGAAGTTTGCTGATGACACAACAGTGATTGGTCTCATTTGAGACAACGACGAATCTGCATACAGACAGAAAGTTATATAACTTGCCTTGTGGTGTAACTGGAACAATCTGGAATTGAACACACTCAAAACTGTAGAAATGGTGGTAGTCTTTAGAAGAAAACCTCCCACACTACCACCTCTTGCAACACTAGACAGCACAGTATCAACAATAGAGACCTTCAAATTTCTAGGTTCTACTCTATCCCAAGACCTAAAATGGACACCTAACATCAAAAACATCATCAAAAAAGCACAACTCAGAAAGCTCAAACTGCCCAAAGAGCTGCTGATCCAGTTCTACAGAGGAATTATTGAGTCTGTCATCTGACCTCTATAACTGTCTGGTTTGGTTCTGCAACCCAACAGGACAGACACAGACTTCAGAGAGTAATTAGGACTGCAGAAAAAACAATTGCTACCAACTTGCCTTCAATCTAGGACCTGTGTACTGCACGAGTCAAGCAGAGGGCTGTGAAAATATTTACAGACCCCTCACATCCTGGACACAAACTCTTTCAACTCCTTCCCTCAAAACAACGCTATAGAGCACTGCACACCAGAACAACTAGACACAAGGACAGTTTTTTCCCCAAAAGCCATCACTCTGCTAAACAAATAATTCCCTCAACACCATTACAAAGTCTGCACTACAATTACTGTTAATCTTTTCATTAGTCCTTATCACCCATCCCCTCCCATTTGTGACTGTATGACTGTAACTTTGTTGCTTGTATCCTTATGATTTATATTGACTGTTTCCTAGTATGATTTGATTGCTTATTGTACCCTATGAGGGTACAATAAGTGCTGTACCTTATGATTCTTGATGAATGTATCTTTTCTTTTATGTATATTGAGGGTATTTGCAACAAGACAAATTTCTTGTGTGACCAATCACACTTGGCCAATAAAGAATTCTATTCTATTCTAAATGTGACAAGGAAGGTCATAAAATGGGGCAAGACTCACTTAATAAATTTCTCACTTAACAACATAAATTTAGGGCTCAGTTGTGGTCATAAGTTGAGGATTATCTGTATTGCATTTGAGTTTTTGTTCTTTTATTCCATAACCATGTGCACTGGCCACTTGTGAACGTTTAACCAAAGATTATAACCAAAGATACTATGCATCTAATGAAATGAACTGGAATCGACAAGTCTTTATGATGCTAAGAGATCATTTTTGATGAATTATGTTTAGTGCTGGAGTGATCATTCAAAGCAATCCACTGATTTGGATTCACCAGCTTTCTAAATATTGCAGAACCATAAGTTCCATCACATCCCAAAATTGAATATTTTCAGTGGGGCTGACAGCTGCTGTGATTCAGCAGTCCCACAGACATCCCATCCTAGCTGGTCATACAGCAGTTAGATGTCTTTTTTTAAAGCTTTCTCTTTTCTAGCTGATTAAATCTGTTGTACAGAGACAGTTTGGTATAGTGGTTAGAGAACTGGACTATAAATTGGGAGGTCCTAAGTTTTAGCCCCACTTTAGGCCCAAAATCAGCTGGGTGATCTTGGAGCCATTCATTCTTTTTCATCCATAGGAAGGAGGCAATGGCAAACCACTTCTGAAATCTTGCCAAAAAAACTGCAGGGACTTACCAGTCAATCCAGACAATCACCTGGAGTCAACAATAAGGCACAAAAATAAATTAAACAACAACAACAACAAAAATCAGCTGTAGTGGAATTAAAATTTCAAAATCTGGAGCTCTAACCTGAAATAGTTTAAGAGGACTGCGTATTATTTCCTGGATTTAATGTCTACTATATGTAAATCTTCATGCATCTTGAAATGTTAGTGCATCACGGAAACTTATTGTCTTATATGGATTTAAGGCAATTACATTGGTAATTCTGAGTGTGATTCACGTTTCTATTTCCCCAAAACTCAATGAACAATGTTGCATTGACTTGGAAATTTTGGAACAAAAAAAAAAAGGTTAAAATGCATCCATGATGGCAAAGTAGTTGAAATGTGGGGTTATTAACAGAGCTCTGACACTGTTTGGCCAAACATTTAGTTTCTTAAAACAATCCTTTTTGTTTTCCCCTTTGCCTCTCTGATAAGTGCAAACCTACTAAATAATTTAGACTAAACACCGTTCTTGGACATCAGTGGTGATAAAGAAGGTCTTTGTGACACAGGGCACTACATTTGGTTTTGAAAACAGTTCAAGGTTGTTTTAATATGATGGAAACAAAGACAGCCGAGGTATTCAGAAATTGTTTCCAATAACTGAGACCATACTTCTTTTTTCAAAGTTTCTTTTGCCACCAGGAAAACCATATTTATCCCTGTATAACACATACAAATGTATATGTTAGCGGTATATGGGTGAAATGATCTTTGAGGAAGAGATATGACTTTGCCTACATTAAAACAAATGTTTGAGAAGGAAAGAAAAATGAAAATACAGAAATATTTATATGAATTATGGAAGAAACACATATTGATTCACATAAATTGGCTATGAGAATGAGAATGAGAATTTAATTTTAATTTAATTTAAATTTTAATTTAATTTGATTTGTTAAATCACTTACAAGATAATAGGTATAAGAATAAACATAGTTATGAATACATGAAATGGATACATATAAGAAAAATAAAAGAAACAATAGGACAGGGACAGTAGGTAGGTACATTGGTGTGCTTATGCACACCCCCTGCAGACCTCTTAGGAAAGGGGTGAGGTCAATAGTAGACAGTCTAAGGTTAAAGTTTTTGGGGTTTGGAGAAGAAACCACAGAGTCAGGTAGAGTATTCCAGACACTGACCACTCTGTTACTGAAGTCATATTTCCTGCAGTCAAGTTTGGTGCGGTTAACCTTGAGTTTGTATCTATTGTGTGCTCTTGTATTGTTATGGTTGAAGCTGAAGTATTCATTGACAGGTAGGACATTGCAATGTATGATTTTATATACTATACTTAGATCGGACTGAAGACGGCGTAGTTCTACACTTTCTGGGTCTAGAATTTCAACTCTGGTGGCAATAGGTATTCTTCAATGAGGAGAGGAGTGTATTTCTTATGAAATATGTCTGGACTTTCTCAACAGTGTTAATATCAGATATGTAATGTGGGTTCCAAACTGATGAGCTGTATTCGAGTATTGGTCTAGCAAATATTTTGTATGCTTTAGTTAGTAGAGTGATATTACCAGAGAAAAAGCTACGTAGGTTAACAACTCTTAATGCTTTTTTGGCAATGTAGTTACAGTGGGCTCTAGCACTTAGATCGTTAGAGATGAATATTCCAAGATCCTTGACAGAGTTTGGATCATCAACAGGGTCTTGACTATTCAGCTTGTATTTTATTTTCTGATTTTTTTTGCCAATATATAAGACAGAGCATTTATTTGTTGAGATTTGAAATTGCCATTTGTTTGACCATTCTGATACATAGTCAAGGTCTTTTTGAAGGGTAGCAGTATTGTCTGTGGTGTTGAATAGCTTTACATCATCAGCAAAGAGAATGCAGTTGCAGATCACAGATCATATTAATTCTGAGATGTAGCCCAGAACATCTGGAGGGCACTGGTTGGGATTATTATCTTAGTCCTATATATTTTGCAGGATGTAAAAGCAGCAAACAATGAATGCCAACATGTATTCTGGTCTTTCAAACTCATGAGAATTATTGAAATATAAAATTTAATAATTCAATAGGATTATATCCTTATTTAAACTACTCAGTAAAATACATGAAGACTGTGGTAAGGCATTTGAGAAAATAGATCACTCTTTGGTAAACTGGAATTAATAAACTGGAATAATGTGAGACAGTTGGTCTTGCTACCAAAGGCAAGCTATGACTATGTGGTTCCTAAATGAATCTATGCCCACAAGTAGAAAGGTATGCAGTGGATATCTGGATCTTCTGTATTGGGTATCTGTATTGGGTATTCGATATCTTCATAAATGATTTAGATGAGAGCATAGAAGGAACACTCATAAAACATATAGATGAGTTAAAACTGAGGGGAATTGCTAGTACCTTAGAAAATAAGTTCAAAATCCATAAGGATCTTGATAGACTTGAATGTGGAGTCTTACTCCACAAGATGTTTAGTGGCGAGAAATGTAAATTTCCACACTTGGATAAGAAAAAATGGTGCATAGTACAAGATAGGTAATAGTTGGCTTAACAGTACTATTTAGAAAAGAACTGAGTGTACTGGTAGACAATAGATTGAGCA